GTAGCGGCGTCCGGTCTCGTCTGCAGCTTGGTGATGTCCGTCTTGATGGCGGCCACCGTGCTACTGATCGTGTCCGGCCCATTGAAAACCCCTGTGTCACCGATGATGGTGACGACGTGATCGATGCGCTCATTGAGTTGCTTCGTCGCGTTTGTCGTGCAGCCTGGCGCTGCTGAGGCGTTAGCCTCAATGCTGTTGATGCGTGCGAGAGCGGAGTTCAACAGTTGATGCTGTTGCTGCTGTTGTGTTGCTTCGGCGCGGATGGCAGTTGTTAACACAGCAATGTCTTTGGTACTTTTGTCGTTGCTGTCGTTCCGTGCGCAGATGTGCCTGCAGCAGTGTGTTATTCCACATGATTCCTCTCATCATGCCCAGCATCAAATTAGCCAGGTGAGTCCTCTCTGCCTCCGCCGGTGTCGGATCTGCCTGCGCGTCCGAAGGCACAAAGATCATGCCTTGGAGGAACGTTGTCCACTGACTCTCACTATGAATCAGGGACTCCGTACTGGCGGCATTCCGTTGGTCCCGTGCCGCTGCGTCAGCCTCAGCAGTCTGCTGAGCTTGGGCTGCTGCCTCATTGGTCAGCCGCTGACGTTCTGCCTCTGCTGCCTCCTGCTGAGCCTTGGCGGCAGCTACGGCATCTGTAAATACCTGTAGCCGCCCAAGATAGTCAGCCAACGGCTCACTGGCCCCTCGGACCGGGCACGCGGGAAGAACTCCGGTGGTGTCTGGTACCGCCAATGTTGTACTTGATGCTGCTGGAGTCTTTCGCTTGCTGAGTCTCTTGGGTCTTGGACGTACCGCAGGGCGGGCACGAACTGCGAGCCTGGCACTGCGTCGTGGCAGTGCCCCGGTGTCTTGTTCCATCGACATCAGTGTTGATGTGGCACTGCGTCGTGGCAGTACGGGGAGGGTAGGGAGAGTGGGAACAGGGGTAGAACAATCAAACAATACGCATACAGTCCCCTGTCCCACTGATGGACTGTAGACACCTAATCAGAACAGAAAAATAAATTTCCCGTAAACAATTCAAAAATTCGTAATAAGAAATCAAATTAACGAATTATTTAATCAATAAAGCTTAATTAATGATAAATAACGAAATAATAATTCTTAATGATAATCCATAAAACAATGTTTGCAATAATGATAATGAACGAATTTGAATTGTATCAAGATTAGGTATCCGTTGAGATCATCTTTAGTCCGGGAGTTCACCGTTAATGAGCAAACTACCCGGAAGTTGCAACTTGAGGGTCAGATTCGGATTAGTTTGCCAAKAAAATTTTCGGAAAAAGTCAGGGAAAAACACTCGAATTTTCAAAACGTGAATTTTTGGGAATTTCCACCGTCAAAATCCGATTTTTAACGGCCTAAACCCGTTTTCGGAATTTCTCAAAACAAAGGAAAGAAAAAAAATTCGCGAAAATTTCGGGTCCAACCCTAATTTTCCGCGTTTCAGCGGAATTTCCGGATTTACGGTTCCCAACACGTTCGAATTTCCCAAGTTAAGTGAAAAAACAAAATTTCGTAACCCTAATTTCAACTACTGCAATAAAACGGAAATGCCGATCTGGAAAACGAAATACCGGATTAAAATCAGAATGCCGAAATAAAACGGAATACTGAAAGAACACAGAATGCCGAATTAAACAGAATACTGATTAAACCCTAATTGCGAATTCCTAATCATAAATCCAATTAAACAGCATGTCGGATTAGTATCAATTTCTCGGAACCTAATTAAACAGCATACCAGCGTAAAACAGAAATCCGAATGATAAGTCCGAATACTGAATTGAAACGGAAATGCCGAAATAAACAGAATACCGAAAAAAGAAAAAAGAAAAATTTTTTGCAACTTTGAACTTGATAGTAATACTGCGCTGATTTCGAAGATTGAAGAAACAATCTAATTCCTAAATCAGTCTTGCCTGGTGAGCAGATCCGTAACTGGTCTGCTCGATACCAAAACTGTTACATACTTCAATGAGTATGGGCAGAACCAAAGATCAACCAATGTAGGATGAGCATATATGCAGCGGAAGTCTGATAAACGGACTGACTCACATAGACTGACTCACATAGACTGACTCACATAGACTGACTCACATAGACTGACTCACATAGAATCACTCCACACACATACAATCGTGAGATGGTGGGGTCTGGGCCAAACATGGACGATGCCCAGATCCCGTACACTTATACACAGATGAAAGGTGGGGGAAGAGACGAAGAAGGTGGGGGAGGTAGACAGCACCGATAGGTCACCGAGATAGAATCCGATAGGTCACCGATATGGTAGTCCAAAATGTCATCCAACAAGATCAAAA